TCCATTTGATAGAGGGAATTGGAGCCCCCTTGGCTGAGAACATCCAAGTGGTAAGCAGCAGAGCTTGAACTCACACCAGGGGCTGTGGCTCCAGACCCAGTGCTCAGGCGCCAGCCCGCATACCCATCCCCTGCAGCAGTGCATGCGGTCAGCAGACACGCTCCAGGACAGCCTGTTCTCCCCAGGGCTGCTGAGTTGGCGAAACCGAAGGCTTACAGTAAAGCCCTCGGGGTGGCAGAAATGGGACCTGAAACTGCCTGCGGACAGCAAGTGGGGGTGAGAGTGGGGTGACGGGGAGGGGGCCCTCTGGGGAATGGAACTTCTGCTTCGGAAGGAGAGCCCTGTCTCCTGGCTCCCAGTCCCACTGCTGCCTGGCCCTGCAAAATCACAGGAGACTGCGAGTGTGCGTCCCCAGGTGAGGATGGGTACGGTACCAGGGGGTCTGGTCAGCAGAGCCAGTAAGACAGAGGGTGGTGAGTCTCAAGGCCAGCCCCTGGGTGTTCCTTGGCAGTGCAGAAGGCTGGGCTCTTTCCCAGGCCTGCAGGATTAGACTCTGTGGGGGTGGGCTGAGGGGTGGGTGGGCACTGCTGCCACCGAGGGTCTAGGTGGTGGGGCAGGGGCAGCCACCAGTTAGAGCCACATGCATGAAGATTTCAGGGAAGCAGAGACTTAAGCTGAGTCCTGCTTCTGCCTCTTTACGGACTGGTGCACCACACCCCACTTAGCCTGGGACTAACAGATCTAGCCACTGGGCTGCTCAGAGATCAGGGGAGATGAGAACCCAGGACCCCTCTGCTGAGCCCAGCACATCCAGCACTTCCCTGCTCTCCCTCAGCTTACCAGGGACCCATTAGATTTGCAAGTAGAGCTGCATGAGGAAGGTGGGTGGGGCCAGGCAGCGGGGATCCCCTCCTGTTTACCTGCATCTCCTGCCACCCTCTGGCAGCCCTGCCAGCAGAAACCACCAGAGAGGCTCCGAGAGTTGAAGACCCCGCAGGCTATGCAGCAAGGGAGCAACAGAGGGGGAGTTCAAGTTCCGTTGAGTCGGAGGAGGGGAGGGGTCAGTCATGTGGGAGAGCCTGGGGAGCAAGGCTGAAGGTGCTCATGGATTGGTGGAAGCCAAGGGTGGTCAGACTAGATATGCTTTAAGTCTGAGACTCGCCAGGGCCCTGAAATGGGCTTGAACTCAGATCTTTCCACTCTTGCCCTCCTCCCACCCCTACCTCCACCACCTGGCTTCCACTAAAATCCAAGTCTCAGGCGAGCCAGGGCTCTGCACCCTGGGAAAGGGCCCCTTCCTGAGCCCAGCCTCCCATAGGTCATGCATCTTTTCACTTCTCCAGCCACCCTCCCTCCTGCCCAGAAACTGAGGGGCCCTGGTGATGGTGACAGTACCAAGGCAACTGTTAGCCAGGGGGAGGGCATGTGTCGTAACTTGATCAGGACCGGACTGCGGGACTGGTGGTTGGAGCAACCAGCTCCAAAGCCAGCAGGGTTGAAGAGTTTCCACTGGTCCACTTCTGGGACTGGCAAGGCCGGAGAAAGGCTGAGCCAAGCTGCTTTCTAATTTTTGAACCTTGGTGTCATCGTCTGCAAGATGGGCAAACAGACCCAGCTCACTTGCCCATGGGAGCATGAGGGCTGACAACACTGGCGGCGACAAGACTCCGAACCCCCTGCTTCTCTCCTTCTCCTGGGCGCACCTGAATTCCCACAGTCATTGCAGGAGGCGGCGGGGACCACCCTCCTGCCTGTTTTAAGAGCAGGAAGCAGCTCAGGAGAGGGAGATGGCGATGGGGCAAGGGGTGAGCTGGGGTGGCTCCCTGGAGAAGAAAAAGTTTGATCCAGGCCTGGAAGGTCGGGGAACTTGAACCTGGGCCAAGCAGAATGGGCTGCCTCTGCAGGTAGTGACTTGCCCATCCGGGCAGCTGTGCAAGCCATGAATGAATGAACTTTTTGCCAGCGATGTTACCGAGGAGGATGGGGCTGGCTGAACTTCAAGTTTCCTTCTGTCCGGAGGGGAATGATCACCTGGGTGCTGGCCAGACTATGCTGACCAGCTTGAGACAGCCCCCTGGACTCCTCCAAAGCTCTTAGATCAAGCAGGGAGGGCAGCAGCACCCTCTTGCCAGGGCCAGCAATGCCTGGGGGTACCTGAGAGCATCCAGCTAGCAGGGATGGCCTGGTGTGGCTGGCAAGGGCACAGGTTTTAGGGCCAGGAAGCCTGAGTTTGAGTCCTGGCTCCATTCCTTGCTGGATGGCCCTGAGCCCCTGAGCCCCTCTGAATCTCGGTATCTTTGTCAGGGTAAAAACAATCGCTTCTACCACTCAGGGCTGCCCTGAGGATGCCAAGTGGCTGCCTCGGGAGCCGAGCCAAACCCAACCCAACTCACTGCCACTGAGGCCCTCCCTACTCACAGAGACCCGATCAGGGCTTCCAACATTGTCTGTGTGGGACGGGAACAGCCAGCCTAGTTTTTCTCCTACAGAATGGCTGGTGGGTTTGACCCAGCCATTGTGCAATCAACAGCCCCAAACCTAACCCCAACTACACAGGTACCCTGAATTTAGAAACTCCAGTGACTGAGAACAAAACAACACAATCCTAAGCCCCTGTCCTATGGCCTTCGAGACCCTATCTTGACACCTGGCCCCCACCCCCACTCTAAGGACACACCTTCTCTGGTGAGAGGATCTCCCTGGATAAAGCTGTCCCCTCTCATTCCAGGCCAGTCACTCCCCCTCCCAGCAGCCTTCATTTCTTCTGGGGTTGACTGATTTTCGGTGGGCCTTCCCCTGGGACTGTCAGATCCCCAGGGCAAGGGCCCTCTCTATCTGTTCTATTTATCACCAAATCTTCAGCACTTACAGAGGGATTAGCACACAGGACACTAATGAATGTGGACCAATGAGTGAGCATTTACCAGGCATTTCCGCATCTTCTCCCCCTGCAGGCAGCAGCTGAGACAGTGCAGAGATGAAGAGGCTGTGGGGCGGTGTCCTGGAGCTGCTGCTGCTCCTGGGTCTATGTCTATCTGGTGTCTCCTGGGCCCAGAGCAGCTGCACCGGCCACCCAGCCATCCCTGGCATCCCAGGCATCCCTGGAGCACCAGGCTCCTATGGCAAACCTGGAGTCCCGGGGATAAAGGGAGAGAAAGGTACTGTGGGCTTTGGGGACACAGTAGTGCCACTGACCAAGGCTCCATCTCCTGCCTCCCCAGTCACAGTTCTCCACATTCGCTCACTCGCTGCCATCAAATCGATTGTGACTCATGGTGACCTTCTAGGGCAGGGTGGAACTGCCCTGTGAGTTTCCAAGACTGTAACACTTTATAAGAGTAGAAAGCCCTGTCTTTCTCTCTCAGAGTGGCTGGTGATTTTGAACTGCTGACCTTGAGGTTAGCAGCCCAATGACTAACCACTATGCCACATTAACCAAAAACCAAACCAAACTCACTGCCATTGAGTCAGGGCTGACTCGTGGTGACCCTATAGGATAGGGTAGAACTGCCTAGCTTTCCAAGACTGTAACTCTTCATGGGAGTAGAAAGCTCCGTCTTTCTCCAGCGGAGCTGCTGGTGGTTTTAAACTGCCGACCTTTCAGATCACAACCCAACTGGTAACCACTATGCCATCTGGGGCAGCAAAACCCCACTGCCATTGAGCCCATTCCAACTCACAGTGACCTCATGGAGGGTTTCCATGAGCTTGCGGTTGTAAACCTTCATGGGAGCAGACAGCCTCCTTATAACTCCAGCAGCGTGGCGAGCCTCACAACACCCTGGCAAGGAGGCACCTTTGAATCCCATTTTACAGAAAGGAAAACTGTTCAGAAAGGTTACTGGTTGCCCGGGCAGCTCAGTCATCGTGCAGGCTGAGTGCAGACCAGGGCTTTCTTGCTATGAAATAGGGAGAGAGACCCCAGTGTTGACGTCCGACTGCCCTGGGTACCCAGGGTAAGTGGCTGCTCCTCTCTGACTTGCTGCTTCCTCCCCTGTAAAAGGAAGACAACGATACTTCTTAGGGTTATCGTGGAGTTCAAGTGAAACCTGCCCCCAAGGAAAGCCCTTCGCAAAATGCGGTTCCTTCATCTCACTTGGGGGTGGGGAGCCTTTTCTCTGCCAAGGGCCATTTGGATATTCATCACATCACTCGAGGCCCATTTAGAATTATCAACTTAAAAAGTAACCTGCTATAGCTGGTCAAACATTTAATGACCTCATTCCCCTAATGCTGTGGCTAGAGGAGCCCTGGTGGTGTAGTGGGTACGCATTGGGCTGCTAGCCAGAAGATCAGCTGTTCAAAACCACCTCAGGAGAAAGATGGGGCTCTCTACTCCTGTAAAGAGTTACAGTCTCAGAAACCCATGGGGGCAGTTCTACCCTGTCCTACAGGGCCGCTATGGGTTTGGGGTTTTATTCGGCCCACAGGCCAGATGTTTCCCCCATCTCTGATCAAAGCTTGTGCCACCACTCCACTCACTCTATCTCACTCAGTCCTCCCCTTCCCACTTTATAGTATCATCACCCCCACTCTGCAGACGAGAAAGCTGAACCTCAGAGGGTGTGCTTCTGGCAAAGGGACAACTAATAATGGCAGGTGTGACACTAGAAGCGCATCTGCCTGTCCCCAGAGCCCATGTTCTCTGCCACTGAGCTGCTGTCCTGAAAAGCAGGTTTCGAGCTTGTGTCCCATCAGCCTGGTTGGTAGCATCTTTGGGGTATTGTACTGAGAAGCAGCCAAGGGCCCACTTCCAGGCTCAGCCGCGAGTGCTGTGATTGATTAAGGATGTCTGCCATGGGCAGGGCAGTAAATAGGGATAGTAATTTATTATCCCTGCTGAGCCTGGGGCACCCAGAGTAGCTGAGGAGGAGGGAGGAGGAGGGCAGCTGACCCAGGATTTTCCTGGAGAGGTGTCACTTCCTTAGCATCGAGTCCATCACAGACAGACTCCAGAAACTGAAGCAGAAAGGAACTTAGGTCCCTCTCTGGCCTCCCCGTCTCTCTGCACAGATGGGATGCTATAGAGAGGCAGGATCAAGCCAGTCTCCCCTGCCTCCCAGCCTGTGGGCCTCAGTGACCTCTGATCTTCTCCCTTCTCTTATCTCCCTCTTTCCAGGGCTGCCAGGGCTAGCTGGGGACCATGGAGAGTTTGGAGAGAAAGGGGATCCAGGGATCCCTGGGAACCCCGGGAAAGTTGGCCCCAAGGGCCCTATTGGCCCCAAGGGCACCCCAGGACCCCCTGGAGCCCGTGGCCCCAAGGGTGAATCGGGAGACTACAAGGCCACGCAGAAAATCGCCTTCTCCGCCAAGCGGAACCTCAACAGCCCCCTGCGGCGAGACCAGGTCATCCGCTTTGAGCACATGATCACCAACGAGAACAACAACTATGAGCCTCGCAACGGCAAGTTCACCTGCAAGGTGCCGGGCCTTTACTACTTCACCTACCATGCCAGCTCTCGTGGCAACCTGTGCGTCAACCTCGTGCGCGGCTGGGATAAGATGAAGAAGGTGGTCACTTTCTGCGACTATGTGCAAAACACCTTCCAAGTCACCACGGGCAGCGTGGTCCTCAAGCTGGACCGGGGGGAAACCGTGTACCTGCAGGCCACCGAAAAGAACTCCCTGCTGGCCATGGATGGTGCCAACAGCATCTTCTCGGGCTTCCTGCTCTTCCCAGATGCAGATGCCTGACCTGGCTGGGCAGACTCATGACTACCCAACCCTCAGCGCTGCGCCCGCAGCCCCCCTCCCCTCCTCTCCAGCAACACTCACTCCATCCCCAACACCCACAGCCCCACCCCTGCCAAAGCACACAGCAGGCCTCTCCGGATGAGGCTGAAGAAACCATTAAATTCTTTCTCCAAGAACGAGGTAGTCTGATTCAACTGTGTCCGCACCGGGCGTGTAATAGTGCTTAGAAACACTGACGGGCTGGCTGACCCCGAAAGCAGAAAGAAACTCCATCCAATAAGCGGTGGCTCTGGGCTGCCCTCTACTCTGCTCTGAGCCAGCCGCACAGTGGGAGCACTGCCCTGGCTATCGAGCACCTACTATGCGCCAAGCACTGACCTAGACCCTGTCTCATTCTCTCAGGTTCCTTCACGTCTCGAAGCCTCTCTGGCTGCGAGTTTGTGGAGAAAGCAGCAGGACTGTGGGGGGTGGGGGTGGAGCACAGGGAGGGGGGGGATTGGCCAAGATCCCACAGCAGAATGGGACTGAGGCGCAGTCTGCCTGCAGCGCCCTGGCCTCCCCACTGGTGCCTGACACCCCTGTAATGACAACGTCTAGGTTAAACCCCATGAGGTTTTGCTGCTTAAAATGTCCTATGATTTTCAGCAAGGACCAGTGTGTCTCCCTCCCAAGGTTTCCCCTCTCCCCTAAGATGAATGGACACTTTTTTATAAGCTAAATGTTCTATTTTCTTGTAAGACAGCGATCGGTGTCCAGGTACAGGAGTACATAAGTACTTAGTCAGGACTCTCCTTCGGACTCTCCCTGCGAGCTCAACCTCCCACCCAAGCCCTTCTCTGTTTAGTGAACCATCCTTCAATGCAGAATCCCCAGCCACCTCCCTGCAGCCCAGACGGTACAGCCTCCCAGGCCGTGTCTCCTCGTGCCTCCGGTAACCGCGTTTCTCACTTGCTCAGGTCTTAGCACGCACACCTGCGGCTGACTTTCCTCTTCTGCCCACCTGACTCCTACTTCCTCGCCCCCACTCCCCTCACTTCAGCCCATCTCCGCTCAGCTAGGACCTCCTGGCCCTGCTCATCTTGACCTAGCCAAGAAGCTCAGCGGCGCGGCAATTAAGACCGGCCGGTGATTGGCAGAGACCATAGACATAGGTCCCGCCCAGAGTCCCGCTCCGCACCTATTCCCCCGCAGCTCCGCCTACCGATGCTACTCACCAAGATTCCCGACCAATCATAACCTGGGGGAGGAAGGACTTAAGGAACGCTAGCCTATCACATAAGCCCACAGGACCAGTCCAGACTTCTGGTTGGCTAGTCTATTCTAAACCCTCCATTCATTAGACGCAGCTTTTTGACAACCTCAGACTGCAACCTGTGCGTGGAGTCTACTCTGTTAGAAATTTGGGGTGTTTTTTTTTTGCCGCTCAACCCTTTTAATCCAGACTGCCTGATCTTTGAATCTTCTTCTTGTGAGTGCCTGTCCAATTAGTTCCGACCTATAAGAACCCTACGGGACAGAGGAATTAATATATAGAGTCCCATAGGATTTCCTAGGCTACGAGGTCAGCGGTTCGAAATCACCAGCCGCTCCGCGGAAGAGACAGGACTTCCTACTTCTGTAAGGAATTATAGTCTCAGCAACCCAAAGGAGCAGGTCACCCCGATCCTATAGGGTCGCTATGATTCAGCATGAACTCGATGGCAGTGAGTTTGTTTCGGTTTTGTTTGAATCGTTAATCCACGAGGAAGAGGACGACCTTCAAACTCCATGGACTGACGCAGTGGCTGCAACAGTGGCTCAAACGTGGCAACGATGGTGAGGCCGGCTAAGGACCGGGCAGTGTTTGCTGCTGGTGAACTTGGGGTGGCTGAGTCAGAACCGACTCAGGGCCACCCAACAACAACAATCTTTAAAAGTGGAAATCACTAGGTGCCGACCACACTCCCCACCACCACATTGGTGGGTTCTGGTGGGTTTGAACATCCCACCTTTTGGTTAGCAGGCAAGAGCTTTTCATCATTGCTCCGCCAGGGCTCTTTGGATCTAGTGTTACTGGTTGTAATATTAATAACCACCATGACTGATTTACCATGTACCGGTGGTCTGCCTAGTGGTCTGGGACGCAGGAGAGACTGAGTAGTAAGCTTGTGAACAAACAAAAGAATTTTACATGCCGTGTCTGTCACAACCCCAACAGGATGCTCCTCATTACACAGATACGAGAGTCAAGGCTCAGAGAAGGCAAGCAACTTGTCTTGTACACAGGAGGGCTGTGTAGTTGAGGCTTTAGCTCTTGAAATCAGACAGACACAAGTTCAAATCCTGCCTGGACTTCTAACCTGCCTGGCTGTGTGACTGTGGCCAAACGACAGTGGTCCCCCTGCCCCGTGTCTGCTATTTGACACCCTTATAATGGCCTGCAATAATGAGCGTGTGTATGTATTCTTGATTCTTGTCCTGAATTAAAGCCCTAGAGGCAAACCTCCTGGGTGAAAAGATGTACAAACTTGAAAGACATGGGGATGGTTTCCTAATGCAGGAACAGGGTCTTAAGGTCGACTAGACCAGCCACCACGGGGCACACCACAACCAGCAGGGAGCAGACACAAGGAGGAGGGAAGGGGGGGTAGTGGAGGGTGGATGGTGAGGGGGTGGGAGGTCCTCCCTCTCTCTCTCCCCTCCCTGATCCCTTCCACTCCCTGGGTGGGCTCCGGGTGAGTTGAGGGTCAGCTCTGAAGGGTCCAGGCTCCACTACACCAGTGTCCTCCAAATGTGGTCCCCAGACCAGCTGTGTCAGCCTCACCTGGGGACTAGTTAGACATGCAAATTCTGTGGCCCCACCTCAGACCAACTGAATCGGAAAATTGCGATGGGGTCCAGCAATCTGTTGTAACAAGCCTTCTGGGGGATTTTGTGCAGTCCAAGCTGAAGAATCCCAGCTGCAAACCAGCGGTTGGCCAGGGTTTGTTCTATATATTGACCTTGTGGATTTTACATGTCACAACAACTCAACCCCGCCTTCAGAGCACAAAAGCACCCTTAGACACAAATAACACACAGCAAATGTGCATAGCTATGTGCCAATGAAACTTTACTTATGAACACTGGAATTTGAAATGTATTCCATTTTCACATTTCCCATGTCACCAAACCTTTTCCTTTTGATCTTTTTCAGCCATTAAAAAATGTTAAAACCATTCATAGCTCAAAGTTGGTAGACAAACAGGCTTTAGTTTACAGACCTGCTCTGGACAGGTGTGGCTTCCAGACTTTGAAGAAGAGGAGCAGGAACTTGGCCCCACAACCGCCTGACTCCTGAGCCAGGGCATCTTCCAATAAGCTGATCTATCAGATTCCAACCTTGGGACATTTTCCAAATTGGTCCCTGGGCCTCAGTGCCCTTGACTATAAAATGAACATTATAACCCTGCCCCATGTGATCTGAGGAGCTGTGTATATATAATAGCAGCTTCTGCCTTTGGGGCCCCCATGGGAAGAAGAGGTAACAGGTTTCTGATCAGTGGCAACCTACCAAGATAAGAACTGCAATGAGGGAGGTAAACTGAGGCGAAGCAGGAACTGGAAGGCCATGGTCTCAGAGATCCTGGGTTCAAATCCCAACTCTGCCACTTCAAGGCTGTGTATTCTCAGGCTGTTGGCTTCGCGTCTCTGGCTTGTCTCTGGCTTGTCGTTTCCTCTCTGGGGACATGGAGGTGGTAATCATACCCACGGCAGAAAGCTGGTGTGAAGGGGTTCTGTGTGCACAGCAGAAGCTCACAGACAGTCGCCCGTGGGGTTAGCTGCTGATCTGGGCACCACACTTAAAAAAGATTAGGCGAAGGCGGCGTAGTTCAACAAATTGTACACATTCCGATTTGACTCTTTCATTGCCATCCCCTTGAGGTCCCTTGCTTCCTCCCGGTTTCCTGTTGCCTTCCTCCTTCTTTCTGAGCCCTCTGGACTCTGTCCTTGGGGAAAGACTGTCCCCTTGGTCTTCAATGGCTGCTTATTTTAATGCCAAGGTGAGTACAGCACCAACCCTAAGGGGACAGGGCCATAGTCTTGGAGGGTCCACCGTAAAGGCAGACCTCCTTTATGACCCGGAGTTCTGTCGGGGACCACACTTTAAGTTCTTAGCATAAGGGCTGGCTGATAGCATGGTCTGGGTAACTGGCCTGGTAGTTTGCATTATGATGGCGACGCTGAGGGAGCTCATGTGTGTGTTGTGATGGGGATGTGAGGGAGGCCAAGGGCCGCCCAAGAGAGGGCTGAGGAGGACACCCTGCAGGCCTCACCCATGTTTCTCCCCCTTGTCCTTGACTTCTGGTTTCCTGCCGACAAAGTGGCACCAGGTGCCCCAGCTCCCCTCCCCACACACAAACACACACCCTCATGTCAGAGTGGCCTGTAAGCTGCGTTTATTTTTGCACGTAGCCAGGAGGCATTCTCATAGACAACACTGTGAGCCAGATGCAGAAAAAAAGGGCAGGGGTGTTTGTTCAAGAAATTCACCAGAGCCCACCCAGGGAGGGACACCCACCGAGAGGGGTCCCCTGGCAGGGCAGGAAGGCCCCTGCATGGAAAGTCAAGAGCTCCCGGTTCTGGGCTAGCCTGGGAATCTGATTTACTTGTGATTCACATAAGTCACTACCCCCTCAGAGTCTCAGGCGTCCCTATAGAGGGTGGTGGTGGTGGTGATAGTTACTGAAGTCAAGTAGGCCCCTGACCTGTGGTGGCCCCACGTGACCACTTGGCCTTGCACCATCCCCATGATCAGTTGGGGACCCAGTGGCTGCTCTCCACAGGGTTTCCATTGGCTGATGTTCTGAAGGTGATCACCAGGCCTTTCTTCATAGTCTGCCTTCGTCTGGAAGCTCTGCTGAAACCTGCTCAGCACTATAACAAACGCACGCTTCCACGGAGAGGCAGGTGGTGGCTGTGCGTGAGGTGTATAGGTCAGAAGGCACCCAGGCCTCCCACGGAGAAGGCGGGAAGTCCAGCCCTGACCCATCACTGCCCCCTCCCCACAGAAGCATTTGATGTGACTGAGGAGTTTGTGAGCGAAATGGATTCCTGGGCTTGCAGTGAGCCCACTCAATAAAACCCTAGGGGAACTTGCTGCTGGTTGGTGCCCACAGGAAAGGGGACAACAGTTATTACAAGTCCTCTGATCACT